AGTAGTCCGGGGCGCTGTCCCGGTAGCCACTGTGCCAGCCGCTCCTGTTGCCCGTGTGTCTGCAGCTTCAGCCGTCGCCTCCTATCTCCTCTCATCTTACAGTCCTGCCTCCTCCTCCTCACTTGTCCTTTGTGAATGCCTCTAGCTTTGCTTGCAATTGTGAACCTGCTCTATGACTGCTTGCTCTGCTGATTACACCCCACTTTGGCTATGGGGGTGTGTCAGAATGTTGTATTTGTCTAGCCTGCAGTGGGGTACTCTGTAGCGAGTACAGCCCAATCTAGGGTTTCCTATATGTACTCAACTGCTTGCTAGTGCAACTCCTCTTTCTTGTTCTAAACTTCTGCTTGCCTTTCTGACAAAACGGCACAATGCCTGGAGCTCCTCCACAGCCAACTGCTGCTGCCGCGCCTGAAAAGCCGAAGGGGGGAGGGCGTCACGCACAGACGTAAGACCGGCATCTCCTGACGTACGAACGCCGGCAGCTGCTCAAGGCCCCTTGCGAACCACGGATCGAGGAACTCCACTCCTGCAGCTGTGCTGAGGTGATCTGCAAACATCGCCTCCTCACCCGCTACCCCTAGCTGTGCGATGTCGCGTGCGGCCTGTGCCCACCCACAAACATAGGACAGTGGGCTCAAAGAGGCCGCAGCCCTGATCCCAAACCCCCCAAGCCGAACAGGGAGGTGCAGCTGCAAGCAGGAGAGCCTAGACCGGTCAGGGTCATGCTCCCAAGTGCCAGATGGGAAAAGCTGCCCAAGCCAGTCCTCGACGCATCTGTCACACTCCCTGAATGCCTCCACCTCCGGTCGCGGCGGCATAGTCCGAGCAAGGTACATCGGTCGCGCTAACACTGCAATGGCAAGGAGGTGTGAGGCCATCTGGGGGTGGTCAAGCAGAAGAAGCCATGGCAACGGCGCCTGCAACTGGCGAGCCCGCTCCCGCAAACGGACCACCTCCCAATCCTCCTCTCCAATGTGCATTCCCACCACAGTGAGGCCCTCCTGCACCCGCTGCATGCCCAATGGCAGCACCCGATCCAACCCCGCGTCTCCGCGCTCCCAAAACCGGCACTTGTGCACGTGCACCTCCAACCTCACCCACTCCAACCGCTCCCATAACACCCCAGAAGCCTCCAGAACTCTATGTGCTGGACTCAAAATATAGGTATCGTCCGCGTAGCTCAGGAAAAGCAGGTCTCCGAACTCCCTGGTAACCGGCTCCATAACATGTTGCTGCGTGAAGGCGAAAAGAAAGGGGTCGAGCGGGTCCCCCTACTGCGATCCCCGTGCCGACGCTAAGGTCTCCAAAAAGGTCCCGCTCGGAGGTACAGGTTGCTAGGTGTCCTGTAGAATACGCGCAAGAATGGGATCAGACCTGAGAAAGGGGGCTCCCTCAGCCCCTCAAACATCGCGTGACGGTGGAATGAATTGAAGGCGTTCGCGACGTCTATCTGCAACGCGCACCAGTCTGGGTGGGTGGCCAGCGCCGATCGAAAAGAGTAGGTGAGAATCTCTACCCCCACCCTGGTGCCCGCTCCTAGCTGGTTGCACGGCAGAAAAAAAGAAACCATCGCTGGGCGGAGCGCGATACAGAGTGCCCGGGCGAGAATACGCGGAAGCACCTATCCGATAGCGACCGGTCGGACATCGCCACAGGGCTTAGAAAGCCCCACAAGGTTGGATGCGGCGAGCCAGGGCCGAGCTCGCTTGGGAACCTGTCCCGCCACCCATTGTTTGAACACCTCCAGCAGGTGGGGAAGGCAGGAAGGCTCTGTGAGGAAGGTGTCGCGCAAATGCTCAGTGACCCACCCCGACGGTCCTGCAGCTGAAGCACGGGCAGCAGTGTGGATAGATCTGGCCAGGATGTCAACTATGAGTACAGGCCGCTGAGGAGCGTCAACGGCAAAATCGTGGACCCACTCTGGTACCTCGCCGACGCTAGTTGGGTGCTTCCCCCGCAACGGCTGCACCATGGCCTCAGACGGACGAGCCAACTCCCCTGCTGTGAGGCAGGCCAACCCTCGGCTCCACTCTCCCACCTTACACCGCGACCGACACCGAGACAGGCGAATGGCATCGGGGTCCTGGTCAGAGGAAGTGTAGGCCAGGGGGCGAACCGCAGGGCGCGCCGCCGCAATGGCAGAGTCAAACAGCTACCGCCACCTCCCCTCCCAGAACTCCCCCAGACGCTCAACGATCAAAGCCCTCTGGCCTATGCCTGGCTTGGGTGGCACCGCTAAGATGAGGCGTGGAAACGCCAAGAGGAGGAGGGTAGCAGCTTCATCCTTCGGTCGGCTCTTCAAACGCTTCAAGATGCAGCAGAGCGCGTCCAAGACCCCCATCCGGGCGCGCTGTGGGATCCGTCACACTGTCCTCCCTCCAATCATATCCACGCTAAAGAATGCATCCCACTCCCATGACGTGACCTCGGCCCACACGTCATCCCCAAACTCCCGCGGCGTAGGTCGCTCTTGTGTGCCGGCCTCTGCAAGAGAGGGGATCAAATCGAGAACATGCGCTCTCCTCTGTGCCTCGGCCGCTCGGCATACCCTCATGTGGTTCGCAGCCCCTCGCGTGGCAAACATGTGGAAATACGTGTCGCATGTACATCCGCCCCTAACTCCTCGGCAGGCTCTATGGGGGTATCAGACTCCCACAGCCCACTCCACTTCTCCGTCTGCTGCCCCGGGTTCTCCCCTGGAAGCTACCCCTGCCAATCACCCCATCCACCTCCGCCCTGCTGCCCCCCTACTGCCCGCCTGCTCCGACTCTGGCTGCTGCTCCCCCTGCGCCGCTGCGGTCACCCCCGACTGCCCCCCTGGCTGCTGCACGCCCTGGGCCACTGCGGTCGCCCCTAGCTGCCCCCCTGGCTGCTGCACGGCCTGGGCCACTGCGGTCGTCCCCGGCTGCCCCTCTGACAGCTGCATCCCCTGGGCTGGGCCGCTACGGTCACCCCCGGCTGCCCCCCTGGCTGCTGCACTCCCTGGTCCGCTACGATCTCATATAATAGGAAGTTTAGGGTTTATGGAAACACCCGTATTAAAGACGCTACTGTCTTCTATTCAACACTATCTCATATTCGGGCGATGCCGGTATAGAGCAGGGCCCAAAATATCAGGGTAAGATACCATTTTTGCCCTGATGAGCGGCCGCTTTTTCCCAGTTACCCTTACAAAAACAGGGTATCAATTTTTTTACCCTAGAGCAAAAAGGCTAAGGGTACATTCCGCGCTGGACACTGTCCCAAACAAAGTGTCCCAATCGAGTGTACCGCTCCGAACCGAACTAAACCAGAGACGCGAAAATTTCGACAATGTTTGAAACTAGGGTGTAATTTGGTGTAATACGATGCAGTGCGGTAGAATCGATTCAGACACTTTCGATTGGGACATGTCCAGAGCGGAATGTACCCTAAGTTTTGATTTACACTGATTACGATTTCGGTTACCCTGCCGGTATCAGGGTGCGCAGTACATTACACTGATACCGAATCCTCAATAGTGAGGATTTTCCTCCCGAAGCCGCAAAACATTGCGACCGCCGCCGATCTTACAATACCTAGCCTAACATCAACCAGCTGAGACATAACATGTAGTCATTACGCTGCAAACAAATTTTCAGACAACGGTAAAACCTTTTACACTGTCTTAATCAGTGTACATTTTTTTTTTACCGTAGACTGCTTTTGGCAGGGTATGAAAAGTTCTACCCTATGAGTCAAGGTAGAGCTGGCCTGAAACCTTGATTAGTCACGGTGGGCAAAAACCAATTTTGGGTCCTGGTATAGAGGGTGAGGTGTTGAATTTACATTCTATATATAAACTGCTTTCTGGAGAGTGTAGCACGGTAGTTACACCTTGTTTGGAGGTGCACCCCCTAGGCTTGCCTTGTACTTCTTATCTCTCAACTCTATTGCAATCCTCTTTGCTCTCATCCATCTCGCTACTCACTCCTAAACCTTGGTCTTGCTAGAACCTTCTTTGACATATGGGTTGCTGTATCTTCCCCCCTGTGTGCCCTCATGAGTTCACTTTTCTGTTGTTGACACCTCACTCTGACAAGAGTAGGGGTTGGAGTATGGATGCATGTTCCAGTCCGCTCAACGGGGCCAGCCTGCTCCAGCCCGCATCACTTTCCCAGCCGCACCCTCTTGAGCCAATCAGCATGCACCCTGCGCTTCACCAGTGGTTCTCGCACTGTGCTTCGGACACGCCTGTGTGTGCACACATGGGTGCCACTTGTGTTGAGAACATAAATCACAGAAGACTGTTCGGCCCATCAACAGTGGCCATGCTGGCGACTGCTACAGGTAGGGGAGAGGTAATCCTGCAGCACCACACCCGCTTCCACCACCTCATGGACGCCCACCACTCCACCTGCCCCTCCCGCCCTCCACCACTCCACCTGAGCGCGCAGTGCAACAGCACTTTCGCCCCTTCCAGCACGCACGCACGCTCAACCAAGCGCCCAGGAGAGGGGCTGTCCCCCGCCCTTTGGAGCGCTTGCCTCCATGCTGTCAGTGCAGCGCGGTGACGGCATGCGCTACAGGGAGGCGGAGAAGGGCAGCAGCACGCTGTTGAAGAGGAAGGACTTCTGCATGAGGCGCTCCACCCCGTCCGGCGCCCAGTGGTACGTGGGCATCGTGCACAGGTCCTCCCTGCTCCCCCCACGCCCAGGGGCAGTACATGCAGGGATTGTGCAGGGGGGAAGTGGGGGCAGGGAGTGGAAGTGGGGAGAGAGGCGTGTTGGGGGACTAACAAGGGACACAGTGACAAAGGCCACACTGGTCAGACAAGGCCCTTTGATCGACTTGTAAAAAAAAAGGCACGTGGGATTATCATGAGCGGAGGGGGGAGGAGAAATAGGAGTGTGTGAGTGATCCAACCGTGTGGCTGCAGCAGCACTCCACACGTCTCCCACCCACCGCCTCCTCCATGCGCGTTGCGCCCGTGCAAGCAAGGCGCGCTGGCACGAGGCAGAGGGCAGGGCAGCGCGCACCTGTGCGGCAGCAGGAACTTGGCGTAGGTGGTGCGCACGGTGGAGGCGAGGCGCTGCCGCATGTTGCGACGGCAGTCGTCGTTGGTGAAGCTCCAGTCCTTCTGCTCCAGCGCCAGCTCCTCAAACGCCCCGTTGAACACCCGCAGCCTGCGCGCCCACACATGCACGTGGTGGTGGAGGGCATGGAAGATGGGTGATGAGCGAGACAGAAAGGCACATGACATGGTGAGGATGGTAAGGGGTGGTCGGGGATGGCATGGTAGGCAGGGTGCAGCACCGTGTTGCATGGTATGACACGGGCGCTTCTAGCAGCCTGAAGATTTTTTTGCTGTGCGCGCCCACCGTGGCTGCCCTCCCGCCCCTCACCTCTTGATGACTTCGTTGTCATCGATGCTGCTGCTGTCGCCCGGCCCTAATGCTTCCAGAATCTGCACGCCCCCAGCAGTGGCCGCACAGCCACACAGGCCACACGCAGATGGAGAAAAGAAGCAGGAGGGTGAGTAGGGCGCGGGAGGCATGTCTCCCAGGGGGGGCAGCCATGGCTGTCTGTGAAAGAGCCAACAGGCAAACGGCTGTGGCAACAAGTGGAAGCGTGTTGGGCAACGTACCCTTTTGAGCGCAATGGTGACAAACGCGTCCGTGTGCTTCTCCAACACTGCACTCAACGCCCCTGCACACGGGTGCTGGTTCTTCTCCCTGCCACCATTCCACCAGCGCAAGGGAAGGAGGCTTGGTTGCGTGGGTCCTAAGCCAGAGAGACGAGAGCAGAGAGCAGAGAGCAGAGAGCAGAGAGCAGAGAGCAGAGAGGAGAGAGCAGAGAGCAGGGGGCAGAGAGGAGAGAGCAGAGAGCAGGGGGCAGGGGGCAGGAGAGAAGAGAGCAGGGGTGGGAGAGCAGAGAGCAGGGGTGGGAGAGCAGAGAGCAGGCGTGGGAGAGCAGAGAGCAGGGGTGGGAGAGCAGAGAGCAGGGGTGGGAGAGCAGAGAGCAGGGGTGGGAGAGCAGAGAGCAGGGGTGGGAGAGCAGAGAGCAGGGGTGGGAGAGCAGGGAGCAGGGGTGGGAGAGCAGAGAGCAGGGGTGGGAGAGCAGAGAGCAGGGGTGGGAGAGCAGAGAGCAGGGGTGGGAGAGCAGAGAGCAGGGGTGGGAGAGCAGAGAGCAGGGGTGGGAGAGCAGAGAGCAGGGGTGGGAGAGCAGAGAGCAGGGGTGGGAGAGCAGAGAGCAGGGGTGGGAGAGCAGAGAGCAGGGGTGGGAGAGCAGAGAGCAGGGGTGGGAGAGCAGAGAGCAGGGGTGGGAGAGCAGAGAGCAGGGGTGGGAGAGCAGAGAGCAGGGGCCATGGACTAACGCGAAGGAGGCGAGGTAGTGGAGGTTGTTGATGAGGAAGATGGCGGCGGTGATGTCCGTGGGGCATGCTCGCCCCTTCACCTCCATGCTCGCCTGCACGCCCTCCAGCAGCCGCCCTGTCTCGCGCTCCACACTCGCGCCCTCCTCAAACTCCCTCAGCGCCTCCTCCAATATGCACCCATAGCTGCCCGCATGCGACCTATGGGGGACACAGGGCAGAGGGCAGAGGGGGCAGAGGGGGCAGAGAGAGAGCGAGGGAGCAAGAGATTAGAGATGTGTAAAAGGGTGCGGGCAAAAGGAGAGGAGAGCAGTTCAGGCATGAAGTAGCAGGGCTGTTGTGAGTTGGCGGGCAGACTTCCATAAGCCAGCCAGCCATCCTGCTCTTGCTGCTGCTACCTCATGGCTGTCAACGGGAGTCGTGTGTTGGCCCCGTCCTCGCTTGGGCGGAGCCGACTTCGTGGTCGGGTGTGGGTCTTGCCAATTCTCCCTGTGAATGTGTGCGTAGAGAGAATACGAGCAAACAACTAAGCAACGCTGCGATCACTCACACAACGTGCCTTCCCCGTAGTCTAGCTCCCGTTGTAGAGTTAATCTCCGCAATGGCGTCGTCACAGGAGCAGCCATTGCAGCATGCAGTGGCAGGGCAGGGCAGGGCTGGGCAGGGCGTTGCAGGGCGGGGCGGGGCGGGGCGGGGCAGGACAGGGCGGGGCGGGGCGGGGCAGGACAGGGCGGGGCGGGGCGGGGCAGGGCCGAGCAGGGCGGGGCGGCGGGGCAGGGCGGACCTGTCTTGGAACTGCTGGAGGTAGTTGACGACGTAGCTGGTGACGGGGTGCACCGCCACACTGCTGGGCGCCCCCTCCTGCGCCTCCTGCGCCTTCTTGCGCCCCGGCCGAGGCAGCCTGCACCATGCATGTGTGGCACCCGGGGGGGTGGGAGCAGGTAGGGCGAGTATGGGCCAGCAGAGTGAGTTAGATGTGGGTGGAGTGGGCACACAGACAGGGTGGACGGGAGATGGAGGTAGTTGGAACAACACAGCTGCCTTTTTGCCCGAGCACGTTCATGAGGAAACCAGGAGAGGTCTGGGAGAAGCGAAATGAGGGGTGTGGGAGCAGTGCGAGGTGGGGAGCGCATGGCAGGGAGGGGAGGGAGTCACCGCAGGCGGGCGCCGAGGGACTTCTTGGTGGTGGTGGCGGGCGGCGCCCTGCACCCCTGCTCCAGCATGCCCTGCAGCTCCGCCAGACTCTTGGTCGCCGCCTCCGCCGCCCTGCGTGGCAGCGCCCCCCACGCGTCCGCTAGACTGGCCGGCGCCACCTCCTTCATCTGCGAGGGGGGCCCGGGGGGGGGGGGGGGGGGGGGGGGGGGGGGGGAGAGGGGGGCGAGGGGGGATGAGCGGAAAGGGTGAAGGTGGGGAGAGTTGGGTTGGGGGAGAGTGGAAGGGAGAGAGGAGGGGAGGAAGGGTGGGGGAAGTGAGCGCAAGGGAGAAAGGAAGAGAAGGAAGAGCGAGATGAGAAGGCGAGGCGAGGCATGATGGTGCTCCTGTTCCCCTCATCCTCCCAGTAGCCACCATCATTCTCACTCCTAGCCATTGCCCTGCCATGCACATGCAGCAACCCCCTTTGACTTTGCTCACCGCAGCACAGGCACATCAGCCGCAGCATCACAACGAGCCCCTGTGTGCGCCCCCCTGGCCTCCCCCATACAAACCTACGTTGGCAGATACGCCCTGGGCAGGGTTGCGTACCACGTATATACGCTTGCGTATATACGTGGTACGCTAATACGCTCGTATTTCTTGGAAATACGCCCGGGCAGCCCGCCGAAAAAAAAAAAATCGAAATTGAAAAATTTCGCGAAGGTTTTGCGACTTGGCGATTTGTTACCGCGCAGTCGCATATCGCCCTGGGGGGGGAAGGAGAGGATGCAGTTCTGGCGGATGAGTATGGGGCAGGGGTGGTGTTGGAAAAGCCCCGCAAGGAACTCGGCTGTGTGGAGGCTAGCTAGAGGGTGGGGTGGGGATGTATGGGGTGGGGAGAAGTAGCCCCAAAGATGTATCTCTGGATAATTATGAAATTAAAAAACATGTGTTTTTGGGAAACATAACCCGCCCCCCTGAAACAGGTTTTTTTAGCCCTGCCCGGGAAAAAAGTTTTACCTGCCCGCCCGGCGTATTTTTACGTATCACCAGTACGCCACCCCTAGCGTACCGCGTATATACCCAGCGTATAATACGCTAGCGTATTATACGTGATACTCGTATCTGCCAACGTAGATACAAACGCCACGCCTCGCACTCTGACCTCCCATGGCACCCCCCCCTCCACCCCCCCTCCCCCCTCCCCCAGCCATGCGCGCTCACGTTGTCGGTGGTGGAGCGCAACAGCCAGTACATATCGAGCAGCACAAAGATCTTCTCGGGTGCGGGCGCGGTGTGCAGCAGCGCGGTGGCGCTGGCGCGCAGGTGGAAGAGCGCCGTCAGCAGCCCCGCCTCCACCATGATGTCCGCCAGCAGCGCCGTGGGCGTCGGCAGCTTCGCCGCCAGCGACGGCAGGCGCGCCAGCGCTGGCTTGGCGGGGCCGGGCGGCGCAGAGAGAGCGAAGGAGGGGATGTCCTTGAATATGGCCGCCAGCAGCGCGCGCTCCCGCTGCACCAGCACCAACGCCTGGGGAGGGGGGCGAGGAAGGGCAGCATGGGAAGGGAGAGGAGGCAGGGGGGGAGGGTAAGTAAGGAGAAAGAATGTTCAAGTGTACATGTGCACGTGCACAAATGTATGTGTATGTGTACATGTATGTAGGTTAGAATATATCGATAACATGCATACCCTAGTGCAGGGTGGGTAACCCATGTACAGCAAGCCAACAGTGGAGCCCAGTGTTAGATTATACATCTCTTGTATCCTACATTGATCCTTTAAACCTAGGTTAGAGATAGGCACCCAAACTATGTTTGGGGGTTGGGAACCCAACCTTGGCCCAATTTGGTCCCCAAACTTGGGTTGGGAGATTATTGCCCCCCCCATGTTGGCCCAACTTTGACCGACATTATTGGGACGCCCCTAAAATTCCTCAACCCAGCTTATTGGTGGGGGCTAATAATGTTGGCTCGGAACCCAACCAAACCCCCCTTCCTAGCTCATCTATGTATACCCTCATGTTTCCTAATTCAAACATCGGTTTCAATTCTCACATGCCAACCAGCGCCGCTCTTGATCCTAGGGCCACATTCTACATCCTGCGCCTAATTGCGCCTAACACGGTACTACCGTGCGTTCACGCCCCTTGGCGTCCCCTCCCGCCGGCTTCGCCGTACCCCTTGCGCCACTTGGCGCTCGTCCCGCTGGCTCTGCCATGCCCTTGCGCCACCTTGGCGCCCCTCCCGCCCGCTTCTCCGCGCTCCTCGTGCCCCTCGCCGCCCCTCTCGCCAGCTCTGTTTTGCCCTCTCGCCATCTTGGCGCCCCTCCCGTCGGCCCTGCTGCGCCCTTCGCGCCACTTGGTGCCCCTCTCGCCGGCTCGGCCGCGCCCCGTTCAGCACCCCCGCGCGCCCTTCTTTGCGCCGCGACAGTCGCGCACGGCCGACTGCCGACAGCCGACGACGACGCGGAGGCGCCCACCAGCCGCGGACGCCCGTGAAGAAGCCGGACGCGCCGTCCCTCAAGACGACCACCTTCTGCCGACTTCACGAAGTCGGCTACTCCCCCAGGTCGACCACTTCTGGTCGACCAGGTCTGATGGTCGCCGACTGCACCCAACCGGCGTCCCCAGGTCGGCGTCACCAAGTCGACGCCCCTCAGGTCGACGCCACGAAGTCGGCGTCCTCCCAAAGTTGGCGCCATCCAAGTCGGCGCCCTTCCCTGGTCGACGAGCCCCGTCGCCGACCACCAGTAGAAGTCGGCCACCGGCTTCCCAAAGTCGGCGGCTTTGCAGTGGCCCCGTGCAGGTCGACCAAACCCATCGACCAGCTCGCCCAAGTCGGCGTCGCCCACTGTAGGTCAGCTGCACTCCCCGTACACCCAACCACGAAGTCGGCTCCGCCCAAGCGAGGACGGGGCCAACACCCAACTCCCGTTGACACTCTTACCCTCATGGCGGACGACTCTACCTCGTTCGAGATCGCCTCCATCAACAAGCTTGAGCTCCTCAACGGCACCACCGCGGTCAATTGGGTGTCGTTCGAGGAGAGCACCTTCACCTACCTTGGGTCAGTCAGGGTGGGAGACTATTGCCTCCTCGACGTCGTCCTCAAGACCCCCAACGGCCTCCCTCCCACCCCGCTTCCACTCCCTGGCTCCTCCCCCCCCATGCCCCACCACCCCCCACAAATCTGCCCCCCAGGCCCCCACCCTAGGGCCCTGGGAGGATGACCCAGACAAGTGGGCTCGCACCATCAGCAAGTACAACAAGGAACGCGACGACTACGTCATCAAGAACACGCAGCTGAAACTACCGCCCACGAAAAAGCCTTTGCAAAGCTTGCAATATTCTCACCGGCGAGTATTCTACCAACCTTCGTAAACACCACATAGATACTGCCGCATGGCGCATTGCTGACCATCGTGCACTCACTGTCATCTTCTCCTGCGTTCCCTCCTCCCTCAAGCGTGATTTTTGCCCTCTTCGTCCTCCTCTCTTTAGAAGTCCCTCTTCTCCCAATATGACCCAGATATAACCCCCACTCCTCCTCAATGCTGCCTCCTTCACTCGCCGCCTCACTGAAAATACACAGCGCCTCAACGATCGCGGCATCATCGTTTCGCACACTCTCCTCACAGCACGCATTTTTGACTGCCTCCCACCCACCTACGACACCTACCGCATCAATTTCACTCCCGCCATCGCCATCCTCCCCCAGTCGCTGAAACCATCGACTGGTCCTCAACAGTGAGGCGGATCTCCTTCGACACTCCCCCTCCATCAACGCCGTCCAGGCCCGCAAGGGAACCAGCAGCACCAGCAACACCGGCGGTGGCAGCAACAACAGCGGCGGAGCTGGAGGTGGCTCAAATGGAGGTGGCCGAGGAGGCGGACACAGAGGCGGCCGAGGTGGTCGCAGCGGTGGTCGCGGCGGGCGTGGCCGAAACACTCCATCCACGGGCACGCTTCCCTCGTGTCAGTATGTCATCCGCCAAGGCCCCAACAAAGGTCAGACCTGCAACCAGACCACTCAGACCGCCGACACGTGCTTCAAAGCCCTCACTGGCGAATGGCTTGCACGTGGCAACATCAGCCCCACCCAACGCTGGAGCACCATCATCCCTCGCCCCACCACTCATGACATTCGCACTCTCCCTGCCTATTCTTCATGTCCCTCCAACCTTCACGATGTCCTCGCTCAGCACCTCTCTCCTCACATCCTCCAGCAAGTTCAACACCTCCTCCCCCCATCCACCCCAACTCCACCCCCCCAACCCTCCTCACTCCTCCCCCACCTACGCCTCCACCTCAAAACCTTCCCTCCCCCTATCCTCCTCCTTATGCCAGATGGCCCTACCCACCCTACCCACCCTACTCACACCCAGTTGTTGAGTGGATTCCATTCCAGCATGGGCAGGTCACCACAGTTGGTGGACCAGTGATGGTGGTGGGACAGTGATGGTGGTGGGACAGTGGTGTGACAGTGATGGTGGTGGGACAGTACTGGTGGTGGACAGTGATGGTGGCCAAGTTGGAAAAAACGCAGATTCAAAACGCCGAAATTTGCTCGGGCTGACCGAAAAACAAAAAAAACGAGCCTCGAAATTTGAGTCTCGAAAATCAGATCTGAGTTCGCACATTGCGAATGCAACCTCAGATCTGAATTTCGAAATTGTTTGTGGATCATCCCCTCCTATCCACCGCTCAAGAACCCATTCCACCCCCATCAATTAACAATCCCTTCCATTTTGTCGTAGACACTTCAATGTTAGGAGCGAATTCTGTGCGTACCAGACCCCCTCCAGGCCAGCGTTTTGCGTATAGACGCTAGCGTGTATACGATAGCGTACTAAACGCGGAACGCGTTCTTTCCAATTTAGGATGGTGGGACAGGGTTCCGGATTCACACTACTGCGCTCGTTTGTGAGTACAACCATCCTTGACCCTTACAACACCGACAAAGTGCTTATCAAAGAGTGCATGTGCGCAGGCTGAGAGTGTGAGCGTGCACGGCAAGGAGCATGAGGGGAGTGATACGATAGGAGGGAAGTGGAGGGAGGGGCTGACCAGGGAGTGGGCCTGGGAGAGCCACGTCTTGAACATGGGCTCGACGGCGCCCCACGCCTGCCCCTCCAGCGCACCCGCACTCACGGCCAGCTGCACGTCCGCCTCCTTCACCGCGCGCCGCACCACCTCCATGCGCATGCCGCTGCCACCCATGCCACGTCGCACATGGCGCATGGGGCGTTGGGAGCAGAGGGAGGAGAGCACAGAGATAGCATTGCCTAGAAGTCAAGCGCACAGCACGTTGCCATGGCAGCGCCACTCCCATGTGTTAGAATTCTATGTATAGCATGTCAAGTATAAAGGGGTTGGAGCTACACCCAACTTTGGGTGTAGCTTGCTTTGTAGGCCTACACCCAACTTTGGGGTGTAGACTTGCAAGTTGGGGTGCCAATCCAACCCACAAGTGTTGGAGCCCCCAAGTGCAAGTTGGGTACCCCCTCTTTGCAACCCACAAGTTGGGTGCCCCCCCCTTCCAACCCACATGGTCCTTGTTGCAAGTTGGGTGCCCCCTCCTTGCAAGTTGCCATAGGGACTTGCCAACCACCCAACTCCCCCCCTTCCCTTCCAAGCTCCTCTTGCATCCAATCTCTCCACTCTATATATGCTCTCTTGTGACCTAATCAAACTAATGATTCAGTTTACAACTTTCACACCATGGCCCCTTCCACTCTCACACAGGCTCATGCAGGTGGGGCAGGAAGCAGCACACACATGTCGCATGCATGAGGCGCTACATGTGACATGGCAACCGCATAGACCACGGGAACTGGGGCCCTTTCACCCACCTCATCCTTCAAACGCACACCAAGCTCCCCACGGCCGTCCCCCCCACCATGTATGTATCCTCGTCCTCCCTCTCCCCCCCCCCTTTGCGCGCGGGGCACTCACGCATAGCTGGCGAGGCAGTCCTCGAGGCCGCCGCGGTCGGCGATCTGCTGCACGAGCGCCCTCATGGTGCTGGCCTCGCGCTCCACCTCCACGCCCCACTCCTCCTCCGCGCCCTCGCCATACCGCATGCTGCCCAGCCGCCCACTGCCCAGGTGGATCGAGCTCGTCCTGCCCTCCGCTATGCTGTCGCCGCGCGCCACCCACCCCTCCTCTGACCGGTCCTCGTCGTCGTCGTCGGGGAGGCCGTCCTCGTCGGCGTAGATGGCGTCCAGCATGGGGTCGTCAAACAGCGAGTTGGCAATGGACGCCCGTGACGCCGTGTGCATGTGCCGCACCCGCCTGCCCCCACCCTCCACCGGGGACGACTCGGGGTCGGGGGCGGGGGGAGCGGAGGCGGTGGAGGCATCGGTGAGCACGGAGCAGGAGGAGGCGGCGCTGCTCACGGACAGCGTGCGGCGGCTGCCCTTGCCCATGAACAGCAGCCCCGCCGCCCCTCGTGCCCTCTCCCCCGCGAAGCGCAGCCGGATGGCGGCCTTGGTGTCGGGGGGTGGGTGGGGGGGCTTGGGGGGCGAGCAGGCGACGCTGGTGGACGCGGGGAACACGGGCGCGCGCTGCTGGGGGGACGCTGCTGCTGCCGTGGCGGGCTTGGGCGGAGGGGACGGCGGGTGGATGTCCGCCAGAGGCGAGGACTCGTTGCCCCACAGGAGGGTGCTGCAGGGATGGGGGGGAAAGGGAGAGGGGGGGACGGGGAAAGAGGCGTGGATGAAGGGTGTGCGGGCAGGCAAGGCGCGGTGAGCGCTTGTATGAGGGGACAGGGAGCGGAGGCGAGGGGGAGAGAAGATGGCTGGTGAGCATGCTGCTGCAAGCATGGTGGCGTGAGCAGCAGCCCAAGGAGCATGGGAGGGGGAGGGGGGGATATGGAGTACGGGGCCAGCGTTACAAGCTCATCGTTGTCACTGCACGTGTGTTGTGTTGTGTTCCCCTTCATTACGTGGCTGAACTGGCTGGAGTGGCTCAGAGGCGATGTGCACGTGTGTGTGTGCCGTGTGTGTGCCGTGTGTGCACGTGCGTGCGCGTGCACGTGCGTGCGTGCGTGCGTGCGTGCGTGCGTGCGTGCGTGCGTGTGTGTGTGTGTGTGTGTGTGCCGTGTGTGTGTGTGTGTGTGCCGTGTGTGCAGGTGCAGCAACAAGCACGGGAGAGCACGCGCCACATGCGTTCATGGGAGCGCCAGTCCATCAGCCCACATCACATGCCACCCGCACCACCTCACCCCAGCTGCTGCGTGCCAGCTTCGAATCTCCTCAGCAGCACATCCATCCGCGGGGGCGACCCGCCTTGCTCCCCCTCCCCATGCACCGCCCCGCCCTCTCTTCCCCCGTCCTCCCCCCACCCGTCCCTGCACTCGTCGTCAGCAGGCGGACTGCCGTTGTGGGAGGGGCCGGCACGGCCAGTTGAGTGGGCGGAGGGGGGGGCGGGGGCGGGCGGGTGCGCAGAGGCCTTGGTGGGGTCGTGGTCCTCCGCCTGGTGGGGTGGGGCGTGCGGGCCGGGCGAGAGGCGGCGCCGAGGAGGGTGAGGAGGGCGTGCAGCGAGGGGGTGCGGGGGAGACGGACAAGAACGCACAACGTTAGGTGGAACGTTGGGAGGGGGTGTTACGAAGGGAGAAGAGAGGCGTGGGGGAGGGGAGACGAGGAAGGTGTTGATGTGTGGAGGCGGTGGCATAGAGCAGGCGCCGCGCGCTGCTGCACACGCACATGGCGTGCTGCACGCACCCCCCCCCCTGCCCACTGCTCCCACGCACCCTATCCACGGCACCACCCCAACACCGCGCACGCCCATTCTGCTACCCACACAGGTAGCACAACCCACACAGGTGCTACGCACACGACTCCACCGCCTCCCCGCACTCACCTCTTACTCCACCCCACTCCTTGTTCTACACCTCCCTCTTCCGCTTCTAACAACTCCGCTGCCCCATTCTCGTCCCCCGCTAGCCCTTCGCTACAGTCACCCATCCCCCGCTCCCCTTCTCATTCCCTCCTTCCCCGCATGCGGCGCACTCACAATCTTCGCCATGCGCATCAGCGCGTTGCCGCCCGAGCTCGTCCGCTGGGGCCGCGTCGACCCCCCGTCCTTGCGCGCGCGGAATGCAGCCCCCGCGGGCGGCTTGAGGCCGGAGGAGGAGGAGGAGGGGGAGCGGAGGGACGGCACGGCGGGGGACTCGAGTGGCCGCTCCACGCATACGTCCTTTAACTCCTGTGGCGGCGCGGAGTGCGTTCGGTTGATGTGGCGGCTTGTGCCCGACGCGTCTCCGGGAGTGCGGTCCAGCCGCGAGGGGAACTTGGGCAGCGGAACGATGCCCACCCCACGGCCCGTCGCAAGGGCCGGGCGGAGGGAAGAGGGGGACGGGTTGGCGGAGGGGGACGCGGCAGGGGAATGGTCGGATGGCGGCGGGTGGCGGGGGGAAGGGTCGTCGGGCAGCTGCACGGTGGGGAGCTTGTCCGCCAGCCCCATGGCGCACCCGCTGCCGCGCACGTACTGGGGCACTCCGACCGCCTAGGGTTATGGTTTTCGTTAAATAGTGGATCAGGGTAAGATGAGATGACGCGCAGAGCCTATAAGACGTCTAAGCCCTTTCCGTCATGCTTCCTAATCGGCAGTTTCACTGGAAGGGGTTGCAGCTAGGGAAAATGCCGCCGTCTCGCACGGGCGACGCGCTGTCGCGAAACGACACAGATAGGAAACGCGTGCGGTGAGATTGCAGACGCAGTCGGAAGTCAATGCGTGTATGGTGCTCGATAGGTGGCACGAGAGGAGCAGGCAAGCTCGGAATACGAGTAACGAGTGGCATTCGTCGCAGGAAAAGAGCGAAGCGGCGAGGCGAGGGCACAGCGATTGCGAAAGAAGAACGCATTCTCCACTGCAGGTGATGGCCTTTATGCTCGCCAGCTTTGACGAGGGTAGGCGGCGCAACCAGGTGAAACAAAAGCTGTCATTGTGCTGAGAAATACTCGTAGACTCGCACTGCGACGGACCCTTCGATTGACCTGTTTTTTTTTTAACCTACGAAGCTGCTCTAAGGGCGTGTAACATTGTACCGACCAGGCATAAAATCCGACCCAAATTGGTCGGGTCTGGCGAATGCGAAGAGGTGTAACGGGGGGCACCCACCCTAATCTACCCCCATAAGAGGTAAAACCTCGCGACACATTTCGAACACGATGACCATTTTGTTCGCCAGCTCGTGGGGCACCCACCCTAATCTACCCCCATAATTGGAAATTTTAGTTTCAATCCCAGTTTCAGCATTCGAACAGGGTGTGGAATATATGGGGAGCGTATTGGCTTAGGGAAACACATTCGGGGGCAATTACTCGAAGTCAAACATTGATTTCTTGCCCAGGAGAAGTGTAAGTACATGTCTTGATAGTCCGTGTGCACAAAATTTATACGGAAAATACCATTCGGATTTGCTCAGCAGTGGTACTTAGGACGCGGTAAAAGTGTTGGATCGATCGCCTTAAGATCGATATTTAACGCGGTTGTAAAAGGTTGTGTAATGTTTGTATGCGAAAAGCGGGGTTTCAGTGCGGTGGCCGGATCGATATTCCCCCAATCGAGCACTTTTTCCGCGTCCTTACTACTTAATGCCAATCTGTGAGTATAACCCCAAATAGTTCGCAATCTTCAAAACCGCCCAAATTGTCGTTTTTTCGGTTGGTCGGTACAATGTTGCACGTCCTAAGTCCTGAGGGCGTGTCTCATCTTCCAAACTACGAGAAATTACGAGTCTTGAAACCCGCTGGCCAATGCGTTGTTCGGCAGGCACTCCAGTCCGACTGGGGAAGTCGCGTAACAAATTCGGGTGGACATGATCGAGGCTACTTAAAGCACAGAAATTCGCTAATAGAACACCGAGCCTCCACACTCCGACTGGGCCACCGAACGCTTCCTATGCACACTCGGTTTGTGCCTTTCGGAACCATCCTACGAAGTCCTGCTCACTGGCAAAATGCGCTCCGACTGCACTCCAGGGTCTGAGGGGGTTGCAGTCCGCTCCAGTCCGAGACTGGAGCAGTAGGTAAACCGTAAACAGCGTACAATTTAGGAAATGTCGTGACTCCTGATACCCTCCCAAAAAACAGCACAGATTTAAAGCAAGGGTGCACTTTGGGGGGGGTGGACCCAAAGGTTTATCACTTGCCTTGAGTGGTTACCCTGTTTGTGCTTGGGAGCCCGACGAGAAACAAAGTTCAGTCTTGGCGGACTTGCGCGGGGTATCTCTCCCCCGTCGTCAGCTGCGACGCCCCTGCTGGGAGTTGGGAACTTGAGTTACGCAAAGCAGTTTGTGAACCAAAACGAGTTGACCAGCAGACAGTGTCCCTCACACACGATGTTATCACTTGGCCATAAATGACGCGACCCAAAACAGCAAGAAGAGCACAGATTAGCTAGTCTAACCGTCTCGCAGCCACACCCGCCCATCGTCTTCATTTCGCTCGACCAGGGTTCAGTGTTGTTTGCAGTCACTCGACGCTTTTTGTGGTTGTACATCGCGATCCGCATTTAGCGCGCCCTTATCCGCGACGGCGCACGCAGAGGGCGCGACTTCACCATCCAGGCTAAGGGACGTCCGCGCTCACAACGAGAAGCCTAACGTGCAGCGAAATCGTACAATATCTCTTGCACTGCCCCCCATCGCACGCGTTTCCGTGTCGACGTCGCCATCGCGCACTCCCTCCCATCGCCCACGCACACTCCCCTCGTCCGCCCACGCGCACTCCCCTCTTTCGCCCACGCATACCTAACTGGTCCGCCCCCGCGCGCTCCCCTCTTTCGTCCTCCCCTCGTCCGCCCCCGCGTGCTCCCCTCTTTCGCCCACGAACACTCCCCGCGTCCGCGCCCGCGCACTCCCTCTTTCGCCCACGTACACTCCCCTCGTCCGCCCACGCGCACTCCCCTGTTTCACCCCCACGCTCACTCCCCTCCCGTCGGGCACGCGACGCTTTCCCTCGGTCACACACGCTCCCTCCATGAAGTCGCCCACGCTCACTCCACTCCGTCACCCACGTGCATTCCCCTCTGTGCTGATTTGGTAGCAGCAGCCCCCTTCCATTCCCCCTTTGCAACCCTAAACTCCCTCTCCCCCCTGCTTCCCCTCCTTTTCTGGACTGCTTCCCCGCACGAAGGGCGGACGGTAGCAAGCAGCTACTGCTTCCCGTCTTCCCCCTTTTTCCCCTCTTCCATACGCTCTTCTTCCCCCTTCCCCCTCTCTGCCTTACGCCCGTCTTCCCCCTAACGCCAATCTGCCTTACTCCCCTTCTTCCACCTTTTCCTTTTCTCCCTTGTTTTCTTTCTCCCCCTTCCCCACTCTGCTTTTCAACCGTCTTCTCCCCTTCCCCACTCTCCCTTACACCCATCTTCCGACTTTCCCCTCTCTGCCTTGCGCCCTTCTTCCCCCTTACACCACTCTGCCGTATTTTAGCTGCCCCCTTTCCCTCATTTCCCCCCACCCTTCTTCCCCCACTCCCCTATCTGCCTTACACCCATTCTTCGCCTTCTTCCCTTACTCCCCTCTCAAATAGCCCCCCATCTACCTCATTCCACTCTGCTACACTGCTTTCGGTCCCTTACTCCCCTCGGCTATACCCCACGCTCTTCACTGCTCCCCTCACGTATACCCCTTGCTGTCCCATATTCCCCATGGCTATACCCCTTTCTCTCCCTTGCTCCGCCCGGCTATCCCCCTTTCTCCCTCTTACTACCCTCTGCTACACCCCTTTATCTCTCGTACTCCCCCCGGCTATACCCATTTACCACCCATCCTCCCCTCGGCGCAACCCCAATTTGTCCCTTACTCCCCCCGGCTATGCCCCTTTCTCTGCCATACCGCCATCGGCTATTTCTCTTTCTCCCCCTTCCTCCCCTCTGCTATACCCCTGACTCTCCTTGACTCCGCCCCCATAACGCGCCCTCTGTACGCATCTCCCTTCCGCGCTGAACGCAACCTTTGACCACCCGAAAATGCACCGTTGGTCCCCTTTATCCCTTTTCTCGGCCCTGCACCCCGTTCCCCCCTCTCCGCCTTACACCCTCCTTCTCCCTCTTTCCTCTCTGCCTTACCCTCTTCTTCCACCTATCCCCTCACTGCCTTACACTCTTCTTCCCCCTTTCCCCTCTCTTCCGTACACTCTTCTTTCCCATCTCCCCTCTCTGCCTTACTCCCTTCTTCCCCCTTTCCCCTCTCTCCTTACACTCTACTTGCCCCACCAAGCGTTCAGTGCCTTACACCGTGCTTCTCCCATTTTCCTCTCTTCCGTACACCCTACAAAACCCCTTTCCCCTCTCTGCCTTTAGCCCATCCTCCCCCCATTCCCTCACATCCTTACACCTTTATTCCCCCACCATGAGTTCTCTGTCTTACACCTTTTTTCCCCCATTCTCCACTCTGCCATACCCCCTTCTACCTCCTTTCCACCCTCGGTGCCTTACAAGCTGCTTCCCCCTTTCCCCTCTCTTCCCTACACCCTTCTTCCCCCTTTCCCCTCTCTTCCTTATGCCCTGCGTCTCCCTTCTCCCACTCTCCTTACACTTTTCTCATTGCACCATGAGTTCTCTGCCTAACGCCCTGCTTCCCCCATTCCCCTACCTGCCTCGCACCCTTCTTCTTCCTTTCCTCACTCTGCATTACCACCTTCTTCCACGTTTCCAACCTCGGTGCCTTGCACCCTGCTTCCCCCTTTCCCCTCCCTGCCTCTCACCCTTCTTATCCCCTTTCCCTCCCTGCCTCTCACCCTTCTTATCCCCTTTCCCTCCCTGCCTCTCACCCTTCTTATCCCCTTTCCCTCCCTGCCTCTCACCCTTCTTATCCCCTTTCCCTCCCTGCCTCTCACCCTTCTTATCCCTCTTTCCCTTGCTCGCGCGCCCACCTTGCTCCATCTGTCCCTAGATCATGTAAGTACCTTACTCCCACTGTCCCTTGATCACACGCCGTGCTCCACCTTTCCGTTGCATGCGCTGCCCTTACACCCCTCTCGATCGTTTGCACACTCCACTTTGCTCGAGCTCATGAGGTGTCATGCCTTCACTCTCCCCCCGTGCCCTTTCTCTGTCCCCCAGGGTTTAGGCACTTTGCTCAACCCGCCTTGCCTTCAGCCTCCCCCTGTCCTTGCGCCCGACGACATGAGCTCACGCCCACACCTGTTGCATTCCGCCGCTTGTTCCAAATCCAAGTGCACATGTGTGTCATATTGGTCATACGACTACGTTTGGTGACACTTACACGCCTGGGTTGCGCGTATGGGGTCCATCTATGGTAGCTACCACTATTGTCACGTAGTGTTTATGTTATGTCGGATAGGGCTGCCGCCTACACCCACTCGGCGTTAGTGGTACGGTTTGCCATTTATATTTGATTACTAAGCATGACGGAATGGGCAAGAGTCTGTAAGTGGCTTTAGGCAACCGATGTGCTGATATTCCCCTGCACATTCCGTGTCTGTAAGTGGCAACTGGAATGAATGTGGTGTGGACCTTCAATGAACACATAGGGAAACCCGCCAACGGCAAGGGATATTGTGCGGTATCTCCTTTTTTCAACGCCAACAGGGTGGTACGTCATGTTGGCACACCTAGTGCCTCCACCAATCAAAGCGGACAATACTCATAGCGCTAGTACCTTCTCCACATGTAAGGGCTTCCCCTTGGCCGGTGTCCCCTGGCTACTGGTCAGTGTGTATGTTGCATGTACTGTGGATCTTGAAACCAGCTATGATAGGAATGTGGCATGTCAAATCTGGAATCTGTACAGGCGGAGGTTCTTGACTCTGACTGCCGGGACCGGGACAAGAAGGGCCGCACCACCGTTACAATCCGGGACTTTGACTTGAGTGGCAGGGAGGAGTTATTGACAGGGGTCCTGAGAGGGGGGGGGGGGGGGGTTGTTGAAGGGAGGGTGGCACAGAGCAAACGGTACAGGAGTGAGGAGCGAGGTAGTAAGGGTGGCCCGTGGGTGAGTAAGGGCGGAAGTGTGGTTGGAGGTTGGGTTGTTGGGGGGAGGGGTGGAGAGGAACGGATGAGGGGTGGTGGTTGGGAGCAGCAGCAGGGAGGACGGGATGTGAGATGGGAGGACGGGAGGTTAGAGGAGAGGCTGGAATGAGAGATGAGAGGACGGGATGAGAGAGGGGAGGAAGGGACAATTGTGGGGAGCACGGGATGAGGGAGGGGAGGAAGGGTGGAGTGTTGGGATGGATGGGATGATATAAGGTTGGAAAGTTGGGAGGAGAGGATGTATGGAGGAAGGACCGAACTGAGGAAGGGATGACGGCAGAAAAAGATGAGGACACGGTGTAGAGTGGCGGACAAGGGTGAAGAGAGGTCAAGGGGGGAAGAGGCGGAGCAGGGGGGGGGGGGGGGGGGCGACGAGGAGGGAAGAGGCGGAACCCCTTGTTTTGGGTACGTGGGGCCATGGTGGTTGTTGACGAAAAAGCAGTTCATGGGAATTCATGAACCAATACATGCACACGTATGCACGTTTATTCACCTCAGTGGCGGTGAGCACAGTCCCCTCCGTGGACGGAGAGAGGGAGCAAGGGGGTGGCAGTGAGGCATGATAGCCTCATACTGTCGGGAGGACCGGGGGGGAGGAGAGGGGGACAGGGGGGGCAGAGGGGGACAAGGGGGTTTCACGCAACAACTACACTGTGCGGCACGAGTGCACAAGGGGGGGGGGGGGGGTGTGGGGTGAGGAGGACAAGGGGGAGCGTGATCCAGGGGGGGGGAGAGGAGGACAAGGGCGAGCGTGATCCAGGGGGGGGGAGAGGAGGACAAGGGGGAGCGTGATCCAGGGGGGGGGAGAGGAGGACAAGGGCGAGCGTTGGGGGGGAGAGGAGGACAAGGGCGAGCGTGATCCAGGGGGGGGGAGAGGAGGACAAGGGCGAGCGTGATCCAGGGGGGGGGAGAGTAGGACACGGAGAGGGAGTGGTGGGCAAGGTGTGGAGAGAGGGACAAGATGATTACAGGAAGGAGGCACGTGGGATATCTGGAGGGAAAATACACCTTTCCACCAAACGTGTCGCCACAGCTCATCTATCCGCTCTTGCACATGCTGCTGCACACTCTGGGACACCCAACTTCCTAAGACACAGCTTCTCCCTGCACATACCGTAGTGGTAGGGAGTGAAGATGGGAAGGGAGGATCACAGGGGAGGAAGGGAGGACAGAGCATGAGGAAGGGATGAGAGGTGGGAAGGGAGGAGAGATGGGAGGATGCGAGGATATGCAACGCCAATGGAAGGGAAGGGATGGGAATGGTACGTTGGCTCGAGGGGACGGGGAGCGCCTGGAGGAGGAGTTACGGGCTGGGAAAGCGCCCAGGGTTCAACCACGTCCTCCCCACCCTCATCTCAGCTCGCCGCTTCCAGTCGTTTCGCTCCACTTACACTAAGCCCTCCCCCAGCGCGCACATGCCGCTGCAGGATGCGCGCGCGGGTCCGGGGACCCCGTCAGCAGACCCGTGGAAAAGGGAGGCGTGCGGTAAGCCCTTACACCCCCCCGTAGCCTGGTGAGGAAGCTGCCACACCGTGCCCCGCGCGCTCGCTGTCACTCTCCGCCCCCACCGCCCTGCTTGGGGTTGCGGGCCTGTGAGTGCTGCGAAGGGCGTGGGAGGCCAGGGAGGAGGGCGCGGTAAGGGAGAAAGGGGAGGGGGTGTTAGCAGAGTGGGCGGCGGGGAAGAGGCGCGAAGGCATGTGTGCTGGCGAGGCACCATCGAGAGAGGAGAGGGATGGATGAGAGAGGGGAGGACGAGATGAGAGATGAGAGGGATGAGAGAGGGGAGGACGAGATGAGAGATGAGAGGGATGAGAGAGGGGAGGACGAGATGAGAGATGAGAGTGAGGGATGAGAGAGGGAAGGACGGGATGAGACTGGGGAGGACGGGATGAGAGAGGGGAGGACGGGAGGAGAGAGGAGAGGGAGGGATGAGAGAGGGGAGGACGGGATGAGAGAGGAGAGAGAGGGATGAGAGAGGGGAGGACGGGATGAGAGAGGAGAGGAAGGGATGGGAGAGGGGAGGACGGGATGAGAGAGGGGAGGAGGGGATGAGAGAGGGGAGGAAGGGATGGGAGAGGGGAGGACGGGATGAGAGAGGGGAGGACGGGATGAGAGAGGGGAGGACGGGATGAGAGAGGGGAGGACGGGATGAGAGAGGGGAGTACGGGATGTGAGAGGGGAGGACGGGATGAGAGAGGGGAGTACGGGATGTGAGAGGGGAGGACCGGACATGAGTGCACACTGGGCTGTGAAGTGATTTATCAACAGTGGTCCCAAATGTGTAAAAGCAGGGGGTGCGGCTTAGTGTCTCTACTAATGTGCAAGTGAGGGCGGTAAGGTGAACCCTAAATCGGGGGGGATATCGAGTGCAATCTCGGCGGTGGGAATGTTACACCCCAGGGGGGGAATAGAGGGCAAACTTTCTCCGATTAAGAAAGTGATGTGGACCCTAAGCGGCGTTCGTAAGTGACTCAAGAGCGGTGGCTCTGGAAGCGAGGGCGATGTGGCGCCGATGCTATGACGCCACGTCGACGAGGACGCGACGCGGCTAGCTGGCGATGTGTGGACGAGGTGCGGGGGTGGGGCGGCAACGCGGCAATTTGGCCGCCGCGCCCTAACCGTGGTTTCCGTCGCGCCGAGCCTCCTATCAGTGAGCGGCGCATCGGAAGTGCTGCTGAACGTTCGTGTTGCGGCCGCGATGTGGATCTACGGAAGGCGTGGCAGCGCGATGGCGGCAAAGAGGGTGCGTGGCGGCACTGCATCCCGCAGGGCGCGGGAGTTATGCATCGTGGCGGAACTTTGCCGGCGAGGCGTGAGGATGAGGCTCTCTAAAGGCGGGGATTCTGCCGTTTGTGATGCGCCACGTCGTAAGCAGCGTTGACGCGAAAACGACTCGCCGCCCTGCCTGGCGACGACGCGGGCTGGCCCCCGTGTGGCCATATGCGAGCGTTTACGTTCCACAATGAACACGTTACGCGCTGTTGGAAATCTGCAACGTTCTAAGTCGCAGTGGCGTGGTGGCTGTTTTCTCAGAATGCTCAGTGACTCATGTGATTGCTCAAGTCTTCATGCTCTGAATTGGGATGAACTGACGGGGTCAGGTTTTTCATCCCCGCCCGGGCCTTACGTTCCGCCCAACGCCCTTGAGGTGAGTTCCCCCAACCCTGGGCGATATTGCTTGGCTTCGCTAGCAAGGTTTACCACCTCGCACCAGGAGTCCAACCTAAACCAAAGTTCGCGCGCGAATCAGTGGGCAGAAAAGGGTGTACATGAGAATACACCCAAAAACCACCCCCACGAATGTGCACCCTTGCTTTAAACGTGAGGCGAGAACCTGTATTTGTGCCTGCTCCATTTTGCTCCAGTTTTTTTCCAGTTTTTTTTTTCCGTATGATATTTTTTGCTGCGCTATAGTACTCACATCATAGCGGTGGCGAAACTCCCTTGGAGTTGGGGGGAGAGTTTCGTCAGTTTTGAATGGAAGCTTCGCCACTACCAGGCCCTCGATCAAACCTCGGAAACTGACAGCCAGTTTCTTCAGTCCGACTGGGCCCAGTCGGACTGGAGTACCTGCCGAACAGGGCCGAAATGTTGAAAGTAAGGAAGGTTGGTTGGGGCGAGAAACGCGATTGGCCAGGTTCATAGCTTGCGGGTTCGAGACTCTAAATTAGTGAACCCCGGCCCAGCTTTGAAAGAGTGGTTGCTGCTTTGATCAGAAGTTGATCTACCCTAGGATCACCTCAGGAAGGTTCGCACACGACTTAGTAGTGGTGGTGGGCCCTTGACCTCAATTCAGAGTGGATGTAAAATGATTGAGATAATTAAAACATGCAAATACAGGAATATAAATAAGAGTACAAGATGGAATACGAAGCGACCTAGCTAGCCATGTACTCTAAGGGGTACATTCCCTTATTGCAATGAAGCCCAACCGTGCGACTCCAGAAGGTTACGAAACTGTCCTGACAGAATCCTCGCCACTGCTACTGCCTCATGCTGTCTGCCTTGACGGTACAGATACTTCGTAACCGTATGACCCTTCGCGTCACTTCCGCCCTTTCGTCTTCAGCCTCGGTACTGCATGCTTCGATTGCTACTGTCAGGAGTGCACAGTAACACTTCACCGTTTTCTATTCGTAACACCCCCCTTCACTCCTGGCCGTAGCGGGTCTTGACCCGCTTGACTACTCCGCTGAGTTCGGAGCAGTGCTGGTACTGCTGACGTGGCAGTTTCTTCGTGAGGTCGGCCGCCATGTCACCCGTCGGGCAGTAGGTTAAGTCAACCTTGCCCTTGTCGACTTCGTCCTTGACGAAGAAGTACCGCAGCGCGATGTGCTTGGTGCGGTTGACGAATCCTAGCTTGTTCGTGATCCTGATCGCACTCTGGTTATCGCAGTGCAGGCGGAAGTTCGGCGAAGCCGGAATTTTCGCCTCCTACAACAATTCTTGTAGATAGAGGCCTTCGCGAACGGCTGCTGTTGCTGCGATGAACTCGGCTTCTGCCGATGACAAGGCAACCAGCTCCTGTTTCTGCGAATTCCAGGAGATGGGACCGCTGGGCTCGAGGCGAAATAGGAAGCCGGTCCTGGACCGTCGATTGTCGGGGTCAGCGGCGTGATCAGCGTCCACGTAGCCGATGAGGTTGAAGGATGCGGTTGGGATTGTGGAGTAGCAGAGCCCGACATTGGGCGTGGAGATGAAGAGTTGCAGGGCCCGCTGAAGATCCAGAAGGTTTTCAGCCGTTGGTTTGCGAGAGTACTGAGCCAGTTGGCTCGCGATGTACGAGAGATCGGGCATGCAGGTAACAGAGGCGAAGAGCAGGCATCCTAGCTGCTACTGGTAAGTCTAGAGTCCAGCGGGGGACAGGGTTTTGTTGTCAGGTTTGTGGTTCGGTCCCGGGGTGCGGTAAGGCGTGGAGAGTGGTGCAGGTGCAATGTTGAAACGTTTGCCAAGTTCTTCTGCATACTGGGCTGCTGAGAGGTGAATGGCTTCTGGCAAGTAGGAGATGTTCAGCCCAAGGAACTGCTTCACATCATGGTTGCAGGTGATGTCGACGCGCCCCGCGAGATTCTTCTCGAATTGCTCAAGCAGCTCGTTGCTTGACCTTGTGTAGAGGAGGTCGTCGACGTAGACCGTGAGCAGGATGTTTTCGCGGCGGAAGTCGCGGCGGTACATGCCGAGATCGTGAGGCAACTGCTTGAAGCCTATCTCAAGCAGGATGTTGTGTAGGTACTACTGCCAGAGCCTTGGCGCTTGTTTGATCCCATAAAGGGACTTTCGCAGCTGGCACACGCGTGAATCTCCCTCGCCGTATGTGTGCGGCTGCTCCACGTAGATTACAGCATCCACTAACGCGTAGAGGAACGCGTTCTTCACGTCGATCTGCCGAAGTGGTAAGTGCCTTGCAGCGGCGATGGTGAGCAGGATTCTGACCGAGGTGTGACGGCCGACCGGCGCAAACGTCTGGTTGAAGACGACGCCGTGCCTTTGGTCGTACCCGCGCACGACCCAGCGTGCCTTGAATCGCTCGATTGTGCCGTCCGCTGCGGTCTTCACGCGGAAGACCTATTTCCCGGAGAGAATCTTTCTCCCCTTGATTGCCGGTCGATCGACAAGCACCCAAGTGTCACGAGACTCAAGTGCCTTGATTTCCGCATCCATCGCCTCGCGCCATTCCTTGCTGTGTGGTCCCGTGAGTGCTTGGCGTGGGTTTTTCGGCTCGATAACACGTGGCGCCGTTGAGGTGGCGGTATGGAGCCCAAGAAGCTGCAGTCCAGAGACGGTGCTGTCGTGGCGGTGCTGCGGGATGACCTCCTGCACGTCATCGTCGTCGCTCTCTGGTTCAGGTGGAGTTGGTGGTGCTACGCCTTTGCCGCTTCCTCCCGCTGCGCCCGCTCCTCCTCCAGGGGAGTCGTCATCATCGTCGTCGCTACCGTGGCGATCACCTCCTGTGAACTCGCCTCTGGTGTCCTGCTCTAGAATGGCTGCTGCAGCTTCGTCCTCAGGTGTGGCGTAACTATGTCCGTCGTTGGCGTAAACGCGATTCGCGTTCGCCCGCTCGTCTTCGTGGAATTGCTCGAGGAAGAGCCGCTCGTAGAAGATGATATCGCGCGCGTTCGTGATCTTCTGGCTCATGAGGTCCAGGATGAGCCACGCCTTGTGTTCGTGGCTGATGCCGAGGTGAATGCCCCAGCGCGCGCGGCTTGCGAATTTCCTGATGGTTGATGTTGGCGGGCGGTACTGCACCATGCACCCCCACACGCGAAGCATGGATGTGTCGCCCTTCGTTCCCATCCACTTCAGATGCGGGGTCAGATTGCCGGTGATGGCAGTGGTTGATAGCAGGTTGTGGGGTTTCGATTGTTTAGGTCCAGTACGTTGGCGGAAGCTTCGATTGTTTTATCAACGCCCGCACCTTCGTCATGAGCGTACGGTTTGTGCGTTCGGCTACACCGGGAGGGAAATGTGATGCTCGATTCCCTTCTGCGCCAGGTAGTCTTGCACTTCCTTGCTCCTGAACTCCGCTGCGCCGTCCGATTGCCAGATTTTCAGCTTCTCCCCAGATTGCCGCTGCGCGTGCGCCAGCCAGAGACGAAAGACTTCGTACGCTCTGCTGCGCGCTTCCACGTTCACGATCCAGACATAGCGCGTTCCCGCGTCGACGAAGGTAAGCGTATACAGCTCGTCGTTGATTCCGCAATGCCCCACGTTGAGGAAATCGCTGTATACTTTGTGCAGCTTGGGTTAGCGGTTGGTTCCAGGGTCGAGTAGTGGGAACGGTTGGTGACTCAGCGCAGCTTCGGGGCAGACGGTGCAGTTGCGCGGCTGTGTCGTGCTTCTCACTTCGGTGCCATCTGGGCGCAGGAGTGCGCCAGGCGCAAAGACGCCAGCTTCGATGCAGTTTTTCAGTGTTACACGCGAGGGGTGACCGAGGCGCTGGTGCCAAAGGTCATCGTTGGCGCGGAGTCCTGAGGTGCGCATGTAGCGTGCGCGCACAACATCGGGGTCTTCTTCTGGTGCTGGGGCGGGTTCTGCTACCGCTTCGTCTGCCGCTTCCTCTTCTTCTTCGGCGCCGTTCGCCGTGGTCAGCATCAGCGCCAAGAATTCCCTGTCAAGGATTACGGAGAAGGGAATATTAGTCCCGGGGATGGTTCCAGGGACAAAGGTTGGTTCGCGTGGCTCGGGGTCAGGCCCGTAAACGGTACGCCGCGGGGTAGAAGGCTTATTGCCCCAGTCGATGGTGTCCCAAGGGTCGCGGTGTGGCTGGATGTCAGGTGGGGGTAGTGCGGGTGCAGGGTGGCGCGGAGGGCGACCAAGAGAAACAACAGGAGGTTCTGCCTCGTTTTCTTCTTCCCCCCTTTGGTCCTCGCAGGAAGCTCCCCAGCCTTCGCCGGAAGTGCCCCAACCGCTTGTCTCGCCGCCAGATGCGGCGCCCCATCCGCGTGTGTTGTCACCGGGTGCGGCTCCCCATCCGCCAGTGTCGCCACCGGTTGCAGCTCCCCATCCGCCAGTGTCGCTCGTACCCCATCCGCCAGCGCTCCCCCACCCCCCTTCATTGAAGGCGCTCTCCTCTTCCTCCCATCCGCTCCAGGCGAACATGCCGCGCGACTCCGCAAGTCTCCGCTGGCGAAGCTCTTCCGCCTCGCGTCGCGCCACTTCCTCTTCTTGCGCCACGGTAAGCTTCGTCGTAGAGTCGCGCTGGTGAGATTAGATCTCCATGAACGTCTCTTTTGTGTAAGGTCGTGGTACGCGGTGCGCATCGAAGGTGCCGACACCGGTGCCACGTAGCATGCCCTGAAGGTGTTGCGATGCTGGTCCGGGGAGGGGATGCTCCTCCGTTCCAAAGACGCCGCGCGTTGCGATTTCGAGCTCCAAGGTTGACATTCCTTCCTCAGGAGGTGCGAGTCGTTCTGCTTCGGCGATGGCGGCAAGACCGCGACCGGCAATCGCGCTGGTGGAGGCAGTGGGCGTGTGGCAGTCTCTGCAGATGCCGTCTGGATCTGGATCATGCAACGCCAGCTCACGCGGGTGCAGGTGATGCGGCACCCATGGTCGTCCATCAGGATGTTTCCAATCCGAGCGGTGGATATGCTCGAAGCGCAGGGGAACGAGATTGATGAGCTCCTGCGAATCGCCGCTGCAGTCGGGAATGCCGAAATCGAGGATGTAGACTCCATTTTCTGAGTGTGCTCGTCCGATCTGCTTGCGCGCCTTGTTCGGCGCGGTGTAGTGGAGCAGGATGTCGCGTGTCTCGGGGTCGGTGTTGAGGTCAACTCTGCAGTCCATGAGTTGCGCCGCCGAGAGAAGGTTGAAGCGCAAATTCTGCACAATCAGCACGTCGTTCAGCGTGATGTG